AAAGGAAACTGGTAGGATCTGTTCTTGGAGATAGCTCCTTTTAGACCCATTCATGGTCGCTGAAAGTACCAAGAAATCTGGCTGAAATCAACATTAATAGCAGAATGCAAATATGTTATCAAATTAGCTGAAAAGAAGGGCATGAGGGAGTAATATCCTTTGGCCAGGGAAATAATGGTGGACGAGGCAAGTCCATAGCACATGTCAGGCCATGTGGGTCCCCAGGAGAAATGGGGCAGCCCTTGGCACCCAGAAGTGGCCTGGCAGAGTGGAAGAAACTTCAGTTTTGGAATCCAGTAGCCTCTTTTAAAATTCTGGTTTTCTCCTATTGTAGGAGGATGAGGGCTAGTATTTTGACAATATGGTTTTTTTTTTAACCTTTCTAAATATATGATTCTAATCCATCCTAGGCATCCATCAGCTCTGGAGACGTTAGGATTTCTGTCAATGGAATTCTAAGAGAGAAAAAGCAATTCGATATTCAGTTTTTCATATTCAAAATAGCATTTTCAACAAGACAGAAACCTTGTAACCTAAGCGATCATCTTAGAATTTTTCTACTTTTTTACTCTCAATTTTCACTCATCAGGGACCCTGCCCGGAGGACTCAGCTAACAGCGTCCAGATAGTCCTTCTGCTGATGGGCCAAGGCCAGGAATCTTGCTGCTCTGTAGCTGATGGACTATTAGACAGGGAAAATCCACCTCTTCTGGCTCGGGGGACTTGGAGATAAAGGAGAAGAGAGAAGAGGAATGAGGGGATTCGTGCTGTTTCTAGGAGTCCTATGCAGTACTTAGCTTGGGGATCTCCAGAATTTGGAGGGAGGCAGGTCTACCTGAGACCCACCCCTAGGGCCCACATCCCCATGGTTACTTTGGAAGGAAGCATAACTGAGAGGCAGGGCCTATATTGGCTTTCCAAAGCCTCCTGCCCTGTAGATTCCAGAACTCCCAGCCGCCAGCAGCATGAGGTCACAGCAGCCACCTCCCCTGCCCCATCCCCACTGACGCAGGGAGAAGAGAAAGGGAGAGGGAGGTTCTCTGAGAAACTGAGCTCTTCTATGCAAAAGAGACTGAGAATTCTCTAAAGGGACTATTTGGATTATTACATCAGACTAGGTTATAATCCAGAATGGACTAAATTATAGCTGCTGTTTTTCCACCACCCAGGAGCTTGTAAGGAAGGCCATGGCAATTAGAAAGCAAGGCAGTTGCTCTAGTGCATTCTAGGGGTAGTTTGGGGGGGCAGTTTAAGGACCCCACTGTGTGTGCTTGCACAAGTGGGTGTGCCTATGTAAGTCTAAGACTTGGCTTCTTTATGTTATATGAGGATAAATAATAATCTCCTTCTCCATGGTCTCCTTGTGCATTTAAGCAATAAGCAGTGTACACATCCCTGGGTCAATTCAGAACTTGGCAGACTATATATATTTCCTTGCTCGTGCTGGAGAATGGGACTGAGAAGCAATGAGAAAGAACAGTTCAGTGCAGAGGTTGCTCAGCCCAGCCCAGGGCCAATGCCTACTAGCTCCTTCATACCATCTCCTTCTCCACAGGAGAGTTGAACAGACACCCATCCAGGCTGCAGAAGTTGGCCAGAGGTGGGCTTTCAGCTCTTATTTCTTTGCAAGTGCACATGTCAGAGAAGAACTGTGCCTGGACACCATGCAGCTACATAGCCCACAGGCCTGCTTCCATCTTTTCAAAGACCACCTTAGACAGCTACCCTCTCTCCACATTCATTACAAGAGCCCCCGGGGTTTGCTGGCCCCATGCAGCACCCAGAAAACCAGTGCAAGCTATGCTTTGCAAGAACTGATTGGAGGCTGAGTTAAGAGTGTTGGCTCCCCAGTCTCCATTCAGCCTCTGTGCCCTGGTAAGACTATATTATTTTCTTAGCTCAAGTTGCTGTTTTCAAGACATTATTTCTCTATGACGAGAAAACAATATTAGGTCTTATGTAATATCAACCTCAATGAATCTGGAAGCGATCATGGAATGGGTGGATTTTTTTTCTCTCCTCAAAAAAAAAAAAAGGAGAAAAATAAATTTGAGATTGTTTGCATATGGCTGAAAATATTTATGAACTATTCCCCTTGTTTCCTCATCACATATTTTACCCAGTGCGTTTGTGTGTGGTACAGAATAAATCTTTATGAGGAGCAGAGGCAGAGAAGGGAAGAAAACAGTAAAAGGACAGGGTATCCATCAAGTGCCTGGGTGTTTGTTAGTGATCCTCAGTCTCTGGGTACCTCAGCTCCAGACTCACCCCATCCAGCTACTCTGAGGAAATCCTTTGGAGCAGGGGTTTCAAATATAAACACAGAAGGAATGAACATTTCAGGTCACCCTGTTTTATTTCACAGGCCCCCCATGAACTAGGTGCCATTAGCCAAAAGAGATCATTTGATTCTGTGATCCCAGATTGTGCCACCATCCGAGCTTAGAGTTGGCAGGTAGGAGAAAAAAGAGTTGACAGAGAATGGATGGGTGCTGCCATTTGGGAGTGCTTTAGCACACAGGTGTGTTGCCTCAGTCTCCCTCTAACTGTGCCTGTCATAAGGCTGGTCACCAAGGAGGATCCCCAGGAAGCATGAGGGACAGGGCTATGGCTGTGCATTAAATAAGTAAGGGAAACAAAGCTCCAGGCTATTGATTTTCCCCTCTAGGGACTGACCTCTGAATTGAGGCTTCTTAGACTATCCTCATTGTCTACTGCACATTGAAATTTTTAGGAATATACTAAGAGTATGGGGTGATTGACAGGAAACAGAATGATCTCTATATTTGGTGATGCGAAGCAATAACTCCTGTTGACTCATTTCCTTAGTATGCGCTGGGCACTGTATCAGGCTCTGTCCCCACATTTGCTGAGTTAATCCTTACAATGGCCACAGGAAGGTTAGGTATCTTTAGTTTCATTATTGCAATGAGAAAACTGAAGCTCAGGAAAGTGGAGGAATTTCCCAAGTTCATACCTAGTTGCAGGACCAGGCACCTAGGCAGGATTTGTAGAATCTAAGATCAAAACAATAAGTTCAAATTAAAAAAAAATTATAAATCAGATCCAAGACCTTGAAGGATACCTATGCAATTATAAGGGATCTTGAAACCAAGCATCTGCAACTATTACCCATTGAATTTTGTTCAGAACTGGCCTTTCAAGGAGCTTCAATCATTGCTCTAGTCTTCTTTACCAATTTTTATGATTGTTCCCAGGCCAGTGACTTGGGTACAGACTTGAGTTGTGGCCTGCTCAGGTCTCCAAGGGGCACCTGGAATTACAACTCACCATGTCATATTTCCTTTCCTGTATCTCTTCACCTCTTGGATGATGTCAGTGGGTCAAATTTTGACAGGCACTCTGTTTAGTTTTTCTTTTTTTTTTTTCCATTATAACCAAGATTTCGCCATAGTCTGTATAACTGAAAGGGGTAGAGAGATTTGAAGAAGCAAACAAATCAAGTACAAATCACAAGTGCTTCGGGGAGAAAAGCATAATGAGATGGCCTAGGACCCACCCTCCCTCCGCCGTTGCCCTTGAACAGTCTGGTAATCCCATCACAGTCTAGACAGTTGCTAAGGGGAATACAAGCATTTTTCCCAGCCCTGCTCATTCTGTTCTCCCAAACTGGAAACACAAAGCAGACGATGAAGCCCAAGTTCAAATGCCATACCAGGGAGGAGGAAGTATTGAGAAACTAACATCCAACCTCCAGCCGGTCTGCACACATTCCAGTAAGGGTTCAATTGATTTTTCTTGGGCTGGTGTCATTCCATTGTCTCAAACAAAAAGCCTTCTGTGGAAAGACAAAAGCAGGCTGTGGAGGAGTGGCTACAGAAGGCACATCTGGGAAAATCAGAACAAGAGGACCGTCCCCTCAGCTTCTCCTCCTGCAGACAACATCCCCCTCATATCTGCTGGAAGGAGCGTCAGGCCTGACTCCCATTATCTCTGTGGCAGGCTCTAAACCAAAGTCTGGAAAAACAGCCCTTGGGGATGGGGCTGAAGACACAGGTGCAGTGGCTAATGACCCGACCAGCCATTCCCTCCAAGGCCACCCTCTGTGCTCAGGTGGAATGTGTTTGTCAGTGCTCAAAGATTGGACTGTGAGATTCTGGGTGGAAGGACTTTGGTTGAAAAGTGACTTCCCACTGTTGTTCTTTTGCTCAGCTCATGTGTCTTAAATGAGTGACCTGGTACCTAATCATTGAAACAAGTCAATGAAATCCTTCTGCCACATCATCTTCCTTCTGATGTTTGTTCTTTGAGAGGTATCTCTGACAGGTGTTCAGGCAACTGGTGGACATTTCTAGTGGACACTGCTGCCTGGTAAGCTGGCCCTGCCATACAGGACAGCTCTGTATTGTAGACAACCTGCCCTAGATTACACCAGGGTGCGTCCTTGGTCCCCATTGCTCCTCTGAGAGCAGTACCACTCAGGGCTGCTCTCATTGCTATGCATGACACCCAGATGTCTCAAAGATTAGCCCAGAGTTAATGCTTCCACAAAATCTGGTTGCATCTCTATTCACAGAATTCTAAAGTTTTTTGTTTACTTACTTAATAGCCTTTTCGTACTACAAAATTAATGTGTGGATTTATTGTAGAATATTGACAATATATAGGCAAGCAAAAGAAGAAAATAAAAGTTGACTAGGATTATTGAACTTCCAGAGAGAAGCCCTGTAAAATCTTTGGCATTTATCCTAACTGCTTTGTTTCTCCTTTTATATATGTTTTCCAAAATAAATAAATAAATAAAGGCAGTGGGCGGTGTTTTCTAATGTTCATCATTTGGTTAGGGTTTGCTTTGGGGGCCATTTAATACACTGGTCCTGCATCACGTTCATGGCGACCAGGTATTCTGCAGAGTGTGGTGAGCTGGCAGATGAGGAGGGAGACCAGTTGGGATGAGCTACTCTATTCTGAAGATCCTTTGACTGTACCTAGTGACAAGAGAGTTGACTAAAGATCCTTCTTTTGCTCTTCTTTGACAGCCCTTGAGAGAGGTCTGACCAAGGCACTGAAGAAACTGGATGACTACCTGAATACCCCGCTGCCAGAGGAGATCGACATCAACACCCATGGGGACAATGACAAGGGGTCTCGGCGCAAGTTCCTGGATGGGGATGAGCTGACTCTGGCCGACTGCAATCTGTTGCCCAAGCTCCATGTGGTCAAGGTAAGGGAGCTCTATGCATGGGTGCTGGTGAAATCAACTGCATCTTAGGCCCAGGTCACCTGTGTGGATGTCAAGATCCTGGGCTCTGAAGTCAGGTGAATGGGGACCCAGCGTCAGCCTCTGCTGCCTGTATAGCCTCTCTGAGCTTCCATTTTCATTTATAAAATAGGTATATACTGCTTACCCTAGGGTTCTTGGGAGAGTAAATATGGTGTGAAAGGGTCTAGCATATTGTAGGGACTCAATATATAATAAATGCAACATCTTTATTGTAGATAATCATATCACTCCAAAGCCCTCTTCCTGGAGTTATTGCTGACCACACCCCAGCATCTCCCTTATATGAGCCCTTGTGTATCTTCATACATTTCTTGTGAACAGATCTTGTAGCAGATCTCTGGGGTAGAAAAGCATCCTCTTCCTTGTCTATTAGCTGAAGAGATGGAGACAGCAGGGGCACTTCCTGGCTTTCATTGCTCTTACCATATGCAGCCTGTGGGGTATAACCCTTTCCCAGACAACAAATCTTGGAAACCTGAGATTTAGGGGCCACCTAAAACAATCTTCAAACCCAAACTGGTCTGCTTTCTGCTGAACCTGTGACAGGCTTCTGGGAAGCTGTGATGGCGTATTTCTGGGTGGTGAGGAACCCTCTGCCTAGTGAGCCATGTTTACCATTTTGAACAGCTCGGATTATTACAAGACCCCTCCTTATATGGAGCCCAGGCATACCCCTGCATCTCATTTGTTCTCTGGAACAACACAAAACCAGTCTGCTGTGCATCCCACTTAAAAAGAAAAAGGAAATATATCCCCTAAAGTTCTCTAAACTAACACTTCTTCCCACATCCTTTTCTAACCCTCACTGCTTGCAAAAAAAAAAAAAAAAGGTGTCTTACCATCTTGCTGTTTCCTATTTTTACACATGTCTACATCTTATTATCTCAGCCAGACAATGAGGGCCTTCTTCAAGCATGTTGATACAGAGTAATAAATACTCATTATTTGATTGATCATTTGATCGCCACACAAGTAACCTTATGGTAGCCAGCTTCTTTCTACCCTGCACTAAGAAGATTCAGATTCCATCATTCCTCCGCAGGGTACATTATGCCTATTGCTTTTCAGCTGAAGGCCTGAGCTAGTAATACAGGCTTTCCTCCAATCAGGCACCCCAAGCTTGCATTGCTATCACCTAGCTGTGCATGCACCAGTGTTCCCACGGGATCTTGGTCAGAGCTGGAAACCAGAAGGGAATCACGTGCCTATGGGTTGGGAAAATCCAATTTATTAATAGGAAGACGCTGGGCTCATGGCCAAGCCAATAGTCACTTGGAGGTTGTGTCAGTTAGCTTTGCATCACCATGACCAAAAAACCTAACAAGAACAACTTAAGAGAAGGGAAAGTTTATTTTGGCTCATAGTTTCAGAGGTTTAGTCCATTTCTCTGGGCCCATCATGAGCCCGAGCATCAGGGCAGAAGCACATGACAGAGGAGCACTGTTTCATTCATGGCAGTCAGCAAGCAGAGAGGGGAAAGGGAAGGGGCCACAGACAAGATGAACCCTTCAAGGACATACCCTCAGTGACCCATGTCCTCCAGCCACACCCACCTGCCTATAGTTAGCACCCAGTTAGTCCTTTCAAACCAGGATGGACTGATTAGGTTACAGCTCACATAATCCAATCATCGCACCTCTGAACATTCCTGCATTAACACAGGACCTTCTGGAGGATGCCTCATGTCCAGACCATAACAATGGTTTGCAAAGCTGTGTCACTTTGAAGTCATCACCTCCCGAATGCTCCACCCACCAAAGAATACTTATTCACCTTTCCCTGAGGAATAAGGAGCACTGTTAGGGACATTATGATCCCTAATTCAGTCACACTGTGGCAGAGCCACATAATGGAAAGATCAGGAAATCCCAAGTTCTAGTCCTATATCTCCACCAACTGCAGCATGGGCTAGGGCAAACCATTCTATGTTTTTGGAATTCATCTTTCTTATGCCTAAAAGAAGGGGCATGGACTAGATTCCTTCCTGTTTCCTTTTTTTTTGCTTCTCTCCTCTCTTATTCCAACATGTATCCGTCCTTCAATGATGAATCATTTGTTGAATAAGGCAAACAAACAGCTCTCCCTGGCCACGTGCACCACCCCCTGTTGTCTCCAGCTCCTTGCAGCCCTCGGTTGACTCAGTGAATCGCCTGTCCTTGGGGGAAGTTCACTGGGTTGTTCTCAGAGGAGCCGGAGATCAGACGGAGGACGGCCTGCGAGGGAACAAAGGCTGGGCCTCCGCTCTTGTCTCCTTGGATTTCTGCTGATCCAGCTTATCAGATCCAGGGCCTGGCAAACCTCTGCAGTGCAGAAGGAGCCAAGGGGGAGCCAAGTCAGGCCTCCAGTTTGGCCTCAGATGCCAGAACTCACTCTGGGCTGTGGGAGCTAACCATTTTCATATGAAAGAGCAAATTTGAAACATGAGCACAAGGCTTGCTGAGAACGTCAGAGCTGCGCGTGCATCCTCGCCCGCTGGCTCTGCCGGGCTTACTCTCAGCTTCTTGTCCATCCGTGGACGCTGAGGTGTCCTGGGCCAGGCACTCACCAACAGCCAGGTTTGGGGAGAAAAGTGGATAATGTGGCAATTCTGAGGGGTCCTAAATGATTCTTAGGGAGATGAGTGGACCCAGAAACAGAAATTAGTGTGTGAATTCCAGAAATTCTCTTTGGAATTTGAAGGAGCCCACCTTCCAGGTGTGGTTATAGTCATGTTCTTCTTTTCTGGGATAGATTATGAGATTTCAGGAGCAGGGGGAAGGGCAATTGCCTTCCTTTGGGGGGATCTCATCTTCATGCAGATAAGGGAGTTCCAGAAAGAGCTTCTTTCTGTAATTGAGGGGGAGAAGCAAGACAAAGTTAGAGGACTTTGAGCCTGAGGCAGATCCTTAGGGCTCTCAGCATGTCTAGGCCCCAGGGAAATTGTTCTCTGAGCAGAAATATTAGATTCATAACTAAGAACCCTGAGTGGGCCCATGTCTTACATAGATCTAAGCGTTAAAGTGGAAAGAACCACAGACGAGAGAGAGGGCCTCGGATAAATGGTCATGATTACTCAATAGATACTGGTGTCATGCGCGTCCTGTGCAGCAGAGTCTCAGTCACTTCATTTCTCTTGGCTTCGCTTGGCTCTTGTAAAGGAGCTTCAGTCTTTAAAACGAATTGATTTGGAGACTGGGGATGTGGCTCAGTGGTAGAGCCCCTGCCTAGCCTGTGACACCCTGGGTTCAACCCCCTGTACTTCAAAACAAACGAACGAGCCATATTAAGAGATTTGTTTTGTTTGTATTACACACAAAGAAACAAAATTAAAAGATACACTTTGTCTGATGTTTGCAAACCTGAAGTTAAAGATTAAATATGACTCTTTATTGAATCCCTCCTCACCTAACCTTTCTGTGCCTTACTCTTCTTCTCTGTAAAACTGGAATATAATAAGCTCTTTCTTATGAAGTAATTTAGGGATAAATAAAGTAACAGTTCTCCAAGTGCTTAAAGCAGCACCAGAAGCAGAGCACGGGATGAATGGGTGCTTGCTGCTGTTCATACGGGGGTTGGCATCGTGATTGAGATTTTGGAGGGGTCCACAAATAAAGCAGCTGTGCTTCCTGTCCTTGTACTCCTCACAAGCTGGGGAAGAGGAAAAAGGACACTAAGACAGTAGTTGGCTTCAGGATAGAAGAGAGCTTAGGATTGCAATGGAATTTCCAAACTGGAGCAGGTAAGGGGAACGAACGCACCCGTGTGGGAACGTGGCACTCTGGCCACAGGCCCTTGTCATCCTTCCCTCGGCACAGCTTCCCAGGGGGTTCTGCACTGGGAAGATGAAAGATGAAAACACAGTATGTCTGCCCTGGGGGTCCTCTGAGCAGGAGGATCCCAGGGCCAATGGCTTGGTGCCTTCTCCAAAGAGAATCAGAAATCAGAGCCTCGAGAGTGATGCTACTCTCTGTAACCGCTACCCAACTCTCAGGGGCTAGAGGCAGGACCAGCTCATGTGTAGGCCCCGTGCACAGTGAAGACCAGAGCCCTTGGTTGAAAAATGACCATGAACTTTCACATGTTGATGGCAGAGGATTAAATCAAGGGCAAGGCCCTTCTGAGTGCAAAGACCAGTGATGCCCAAGTTACATATCCAAAGCTGCCCTGGCTAGAGGAATATTCAAGAGACCACCCTGCTACCACTCACAGAGGAAATGCATGCAAATGGATGGAAGGTAGGCCTCAATGAATTGTAGGTGATAATGTTTATTGAGTACTCACTATGTCCCAGGTACTCCTCTAAGCATTCTATGTGTATTAAGTAACTTACTACTATAACACATGTCCTATTATTACCTCCATTTTAGAGATTAAAAACAACAACATAGTGCTCAGAGAGGCTAAGTAACATGTTCAAGGTCACACGGCTGATAAGTGGAATCAGGATTATAAATCCACTCCACTGAAATCCAGAGCCCAAGCTTTGAAACACTATGCTACTGTTTAGTGTCAATACAAACATCACTTCCCCGGAACTCTTTTAGTCCATGTCCCCTGAGTGTGGCAAACCAGGTAGAGAACAGACATCACTGTTTTCTCACTCCCACATCATAACCTGAACCTACATATACATTACAACATCTAACTTACTTTTTCTGTTTTTTTTTTCTCTTCCATGAATAATAGTTGTGTACAAAAAGTAGACCAGGGAAAGGTAAAATGAAAAAGTGTCTCTAATTCTATCAATCAGATATAACCACTGTTGATATATTGGTATATACAGGTTTCTCCAAATGTGTTCTGCTACACATTAAATGTAACAGTCTACTTGAAACGTTTTGCAGATCACTGGATTCCTCTCAGCAGCAGCATTTTTAAAGACTCTCTGGTATCCCATAGTATTTATATACAGAAAGTATTTACCCAATTTATGGATTGTTGGACATTGGAGTTTATGCACTATTTTTTTGCTATTCAGAATAGTCTTATGATCATAATTATGTGACTAAATCTCTGTGTATTATCCACAATTATTTCCTAAGGAAAAAAAATTCCTAGAAGTGGAACCACTAGGTCAGAGGAAAATGACACTTAAGAAACAGAAAATAAATAGAGGCGGTGCTGCCCGCTTGCATTGCCAACGTTCTGCTTCTGGGGTGAAGCGGTGCACCAAGGTGGTTTGTCCCCTGCACTCACATTGTCTCCCTCCTGTCATCTTTTAGATTGTGGCCAAGAAATACCGCAACTACGATTTCCCAGCGGAGATGACAGGCCTGTGGCGGTACCTTAAGAATGCCTATGCCCGGGACGAGTTCACCAACACCTGTGCAGCGGACAGCGAGATCGAGCTGGCTTATGCGGATGTCGCCAAGCGCCTCAGCCGGTCCTGAGCCCTGCCCATGCCCGTCCTGATGCACAGGGCTCCACTTCTCCCCAAGAACTCCACTTTACAGACTCCTCTAATGCAATGCCTCCGCAAACTTTTTTTTTTTTTTTTTTTTTAAATCAGTCCCCATCTTGCTGGCATCACCAGAACTCCAGCCCATGATCATCTTTTGAGGTCAGCGCCATCCCCTGCCTATCACGCAGGAATCTGGCAAGCACAGAGGATAGAAACAGACCACCTCTCTGCTGGCCGACCTGATCTGGGATGGGTGTATCCTGGTCAGTTTGGACCGACCTGCCGAACGGTGACTAGTTCCATCTGCCAATATCAAAATATCACTCAGATGCTTTAGAAACGCACCCCACCGTCTCCTCTTCCTCCCTCTTCTTTGTCAGTAACTTCGAGGCCAAGGACAAATGCCCTTTGCGTTCCTATTAGAGAGAGATTCATGCCTTGGTAGGGGAAACGCAGGGAATGGAGGAGAAGGGAGTTGGTGGTGGATTGGGACATCTGGCAAACACACCGCCAGTAGCTCACTGCTTCTGACCCTGCTGTCCTTGGGCACTGAAGGCCAGATTGCAAAGTCACTTCAGACACATTCTCAATTCACTGCAGTGCTGTTGTGCGCCTGGCTGGTGCTGACCATGGGTTTTCCGTGTTGTCCGGCAATTTTCCAGGAAGAAAATTGGCATGCAATTCCAAACCAGGGTGCCTGGGATGGGGAGGCGAGACAGAGTAGTGTTGATGCCAAAAAGCCCACAGGGTTTGCTAGCTTAGGAGTGGGTGTTTCATGGGCAATTTCATGCCTGGGTTTGACTGTGCTTATCAGTGAGTGGCTTGTGGTCTGTGACAAAGCAGACAGGAGGGGAGAGGGGGGGACGGGTGAAGGCAAAAGAGTTTGGTATGAGGCTTGATGTTCCCTGGTAGACTTGGTCTTTTCTCCCTTGATCTAAATCTTGGACTGGGATATCATGTAACTCCCAACCTTATGGGAAGAAACCAGGAATTGGCCAAAAATATCTTTCCAGGTTTTTCCAAGTTGCACCTGGATGCAGGTGGGCTGAATGGGTGCCTTCAGGCAGCTGCTCGGGGCCAATTCGACTGAGGCCTCTGCTGGATGAGAATGTGGACTTCAGGAAGTGGCATGATGGTGGACCGCCTTAGGGAGAACATCCACACTGGGAAGACCATGTGGTTTAAACTTGAAGGAAAAAACTGTACCCATCTGGGTTAACTTTGCTACCATCCATCAGACTCAGCTGCCAGATGAAATAAAGGCAACCATGTTCCAGCTACTTTTTCCCTCCTTACTCATTGTTTCCTCAAGTTTCGCCTCCTTAAGAGCTTACCCTGCCTGAGCATGGAGACCTGTGCGGAGGAAACGAAGAAAAATGAAGCAATCATCAACTCCCTGGCCCACTGAATGCCCCAGGAGGAAATCCATCAGCCTCTGGCCCTCACCTTCCACAGTCCTTTCCTTCCTCTCTCTTTTTGGTGGAGGGCGAGGCTCCCAAATGCCGGAAAGCCCCTGGACTTGGCTCATTTCTCCGTGAGGGCAGGATAGCACGGTCCTTTCCCTGGAAACATCAACAAATCCTAACCCAAGCGCTCCCTGGACCCGCCTGCCTCCAGGGAGCTCCAAAGAAAAAAATAGGGCCCATTGATGAAACCAGGGGAGGAAGCAAGAGAGCTCTCCCCATTAGCCCACTGAGGAAGACCAGGTTTCTCAGGAGGACAATTTACAAGCCTGAGAGAGCTTTGAAAAGGCAGAATGAGTTGATTCATTTCCACCCTAAAGGAACCTTTCCACAGTCTCTCTGGAAACCGCCCCTGGAGATGTTTAAAATGGAGAACTGGTGGGGGAACAGCCCCTTTTACTGTGAGGAGAGGCCCCAAACTGGACTTCTGAGGGCTGAGAGCTTGAATGATCCAGATCTTATAGTTAGTGTGAAATGGAGCTGTTTCTTGGGAAGTTTTTCCTGATCTTACAGCATGGCCAGAAGAAAGGGGGTGGTTCACTCTCCTGCGCCCAGGTGGCCTCCTCTGCAAAGTCACCTGCAAAGGAACACAGAGGGACCCCAGGGGGAGCAGCTCCCCAGCCCAGGGGAGTCCACAGAATGCTAAGGAGGCTGATGTGATATCAGAATCCAGCAATTGTCAAGTTTTTAAAAACAAACAGGCCAAACCAAGTCAATATTGTTCTTTCTAGATGTTCCTCCTATGCTTGAGTTGGTTTTACATAAATGGCAATATTTAGGCCCTGTGGGGGTATTTTGTGACAAATTATAACCATTTTAAAGAGGGGTAGGAGTTAGAGAAGGAAAGCTCTTTTGGGTACTTAAAACACCTTTTTATTTCAGCAGTAGATCATCATATAATGCAATTGGCTATCGGCTTAGAGCTACATATGTAAAAATAACAATAATATTAATAGTACTACTTTCTAATTACTTTTTTTTCCCCCCAAAGATATTTTTTCTCCAGTTCCTCCAGACTCTCTGGGCTTTGCCTTAACCTTGTCACATGCACAGTGCACCCTCTCTTAGCTATGGTGTGGTGAGGCCAGGAACCACCTTGGGGAGAATTGAAAACTGATATCTGGACTCGCTACTCCAGATCTTGTGGGAAGGAGGTGGTCCTTGTGATTGTGTCGAGATCCTGTTTCATCTTGTATTTATTTGTCTCTTTTGACTTTGACATCACAATTTTTGTGTGGAGTAGGTTCATGGGAGGCAGAAGCAGAAAACTAGAGCCACACTCCAGTCACCCCATGACTCGATTATAGAGTTGAAATGACCAACCTCTTCAGGACTTCCTCCTAGATGGGTTGGCCCAGAGAGAAGGGATTGGATAAGATTTTAATAACTATACAAGATGAGCTGGGGTAAGTAAAATCTGAATTGATTCAGAGCACAGTTCCTTCATCTCCTGACTAAGGAAGACAAGTCTCTGACAAATTCAGAGTCACAGACATGGATATGACTCTCCTTTTAGACAAGAGGTCTGGAAGCCACCTGGTACCACAGAAATGAGCTGAAATGTGGAAAACACAGTCAGTCAGCTTTTGTGACCACAGGACCCCAAAGTAGTTTCAGCTTCCCAGGAAATGGCACCGGTCCCTCCTCCCGATGACAGGGCCCTGGTAGGATCTTGATCTTCACATCAAAGAAAAGCCCTCCAGCCAGGTGGGTGGTACATGCCTTAGCTCCACCTGCCCAGGAGGCTGAGGCAGGAGGGTCATGACTTCAAGGCCAGCCTGGGCAACATAGTGAGATCCTGTCTCAAAAAGTTTTTTGAAAAGACATACCGGAAGTGGTTTCCTGGGCTGTATTTCCTGGCACTTGTCAAATGAAGCAACAGAAGCCCTTCACAGCCCTGTGCCTGGTGGTGGCTGTTCTGTGGATGACAGTACCCCAGGGTCTTAGAATGGAGAATATCTGGAACAGAGAGAGCTGGGCCAGCTCAGGGGCCCAGGAATCAGCAAGGCCTAGATCAATAGAATGAATAAGGAGACAGGCAGGAAGGGCAGATGTGTCTAGTAAGAATCTACCCTCACTGTGAGGATCTGCATCTAAAATTAAATGGGTCTAGAAGCAACAGGTGTCCAGTAGGTGCCTCTGCGGTTCACCTTCATCCCCCCTGGCCAGGAGCCAGCTTAGCTGCACGGGGGATCAAGACACTGGTGTCGTCTTCCTTGGAAAGAAGAGATGCTCATGGCTATAACTAAGTTCAGTGATTCTCAAGGTATCACTTTCCTGTTTGGTTTTCCTACCACATTAAGAAGAATCTGAAGAAAGCATTAGGAAAAATGGGTCCATGTGAAGCATCTGATTCTGACGTCAGGAGAATGTAAGTGATCTCGTCCTTGGCCTTGGGGCCCTCTGCACACGGCCCCGGGCCTTGTGTCCACCACTTTCTACCGCTCAAATCAGACGGCTAGTATCCTCCTCCTGCTACACATTCTTCTCCCCTGGTCAATCCTTGCTCAGCTTAGTTTCAGGGCAATTTTCTCTCCTAATTAGGTATGATCCAAACTGTGCATAATGATATTTAATGTGATTTAAGGAAATAGATTCAAACCCCCATCCCACTACCAAAAGTAAATAAAATGTTGCTTAATATAAGGTTTGGACTAATCTGTATTTCTATGAAAGTAATCTAGGGTTTTTTGTTTTGTTTTGTTTCATTTTGTTGGCAAAACATAGTTTTAAGGATCCAATCATCTAAAGTATTTTACATAGAGTTAGAGATTTCACAATATTAACTATGCATATATTTAAAATATAAAATATCCAGCTGACGTTTGAATTTGACATATTTTTCTGGCCACCCGATAGTTCTGTTTTATAAGCTGGGGAGTTGACTCATTTAGCAAAAGATGCTTAGCTTTTATAAAAGGACAAGCATTTCATTTTATAAAGACACTCCAAGTGATAGTTACTTGATTTTCTCAAGACCTTTAACTGTGGTGATAAAATAACAGGCCTTGCTTTCAAGCCTTAACAAATGTAAAATGCCTTTTAATAAAGACATAGCTGAGTGTTTTCCTCATGACTCTGAACCAGTTATAAATTTTTTTTCCAGTCTTGATTGGTATTGACTGATTTAAATAAAGTTGGTTTATTTTCAAATATTATAAAAGTGATCATCAGACTCCTGATTTGAGGTGGGGATTTTCTATGTTGTTTTAAATGACAAGTATGAAATCTCTCTCTTCTTCAAATAAAGGTGGCTTTATTTTTCCCAGTTTAAAAAAAAAGATGTTCGTTCATGAAAAATCAAAAACAAAAAGATATGGAGAAGAAAAGGAAAAGCAAAGAACTTAGGAGCCATCCAAGCACCAATTTTTTTAAGCAAGGCTAAAAATCTTTCTTAGCACCTGGATTAGGTAAGACAATTGTGGCAATATTCCTTCCTGCTTCTCATTTCCTATCTGTACCATCACACATGAGGTAGGCCAACAGTGACAGCCCAGGTCTGATTAAAGAAGATTACTTAAAGTGTCAGTCTGCTTGTGCCAAGGCTATTTCTTGACTCTCAGGGACTGAGCCCCAGCAGCCTCCCTGGCCTGAGATGCCAGCATTAGCACCACATTTCTGACTCTGGGTTAAACTCAGTAAGTTCTACCCAAAGCCAGCATAAGGTCCAGAGGGGTCCTTGATGAGCATTCACACTGCTGAAAAGGGCCAAGATCTTGGCCATCTCCTAGGTCCTCCATGCTATCACAACGGCTGCTCAGAAGCTTGGAAGGGATGAAGCAGTTGACTCTGGAGTGAATCTGGACCAGAGGGGGCATCCTGGAGTCAGCTCAGGTATAGCAGATGTGGCTGATGGTTCTCTCCCCACCCTGGCTACTGGCATCATCCTTGGACAGAGCTCTGGTTGGATCCAGAGACATCTCCCACTCTTCCTACTCCTCCCACCAACCCTCCTGCCACTCAGGCAAGTGTGATTTCATTTCCAGTGCCAGGGTAAATCCCAAATGACCTAAACCCTCCTTCAGATTGTGGTTGGTTTCACAGTGGGCTCCTGACCAAGTTCTGCTCAGTATTCTAAGAGGAGATTTGCTCAGATGCTTCTGGAAAATTTCCCCCTGTTGTTAAGAAAGTGAGTTTTTAAGTCACTAATTCTGGTGGTGATTCTGGAGGTAGATATGAGGCCTAGATGTGCTGCCACTCTCTGGGGACCAGGATGGACTGGCCTTGAGGACAAGGCAATACCATATGCTGCAAAACGCAGCAGAAACAGGGAGAGAGCCTGGATCCTTGAGTAGACCACTGAATTGCTGAATCAACAAACCCTGAAACTGGTCTAACTCTGGATTTCCTGTCCTGTAATTCATCCCAGATTGTTTGAGGGTGGGTTTTTTTTTTTTTTTCCTCTAGTGGCCAAAGGCATCCTAAGTGGTGTAATGGCCAGGCTTCTTATTCCTAACAATTGGATCATCCCATGTTCATGGTTTGAATGCAGGGATTGCTCTACAAGTTGACCCAGGCCTGGGAGCACGGGAAACCTCATCTTTCTTGGTCTTGGTGTCCTTAACTGCTATGAGAAAACCAAAAGATCAAGAATGATGGTGACTCTGTCTAGCCTTGAGGAGACCTGAATTCTGTTCCAAGAAGCTTCCAAATGGACCTTGGAAATGAAAACATCTCATTAGACTCAAAGGTGATGCGAACGGCCTCTCTTTTATTTTATGTCTAGTAGCTAGGACCCGAGAGTCCCTAATTTTACCTTGTGGAAATGAAATGGAGTATCAGACCAAGAATGTAGGAAGTTCATGATTGAAAATAAGGAGATCGGAATTCTAATCCTAGGTCCGTCCATCCCTACATTACTGTGTGAATTTAGGCAAGGCCCCTTTTGGGAATTAGAAAGTCCCCTTGTCTAGAGATTATATAATCTCTGATGAAGGGTACTTATTGGAAATGAAGGGTTATTTCAAGTGGAATGGCATTCCAGCTGATTAGAACATGCAATCTATTGGAAGCTTCCTCTGTGGTCTTCTTTAATGAAAAGAGGCTGATCACCAGAAAACACATGGATATCATGTATTTGTCTATGTGGGATTTTTCCCTTTGAAGTAAATTTCAGGGTATAACTTGGAGTCAGTTCCCATGATATTTGTCTCCTATCATCTAATGCATGCAGTGAAATCCAAGTCTATATATAACAAACCTAACCCTGAAGTCCTGCAATGGGGCCCATCCAGATCAGTTATGTATACAGAAAGTAAAGCAGACTCAAACTCAAAGATTGTCAATAAGGAAGATAAAGGGGTTGGGGTTGTGGCTCAGTGGTAGAGCACTTGCCTGGCATGTGTGAGTCACTGGGTTCAATTCTCAACACCATATATAAATAAAATAAAGATCCATCAGCAATAGATAGATTTTTTTAAAAAGGTGAATTTAAAACAAGCTTTTAGTTTAACTAGAATATCTCAGTGCCCCAAACTTCCTTTATATTTATATGGGCTTTGGACCACTCATGATGTATAATAGAGAAACTGTAATAGAGACCAGTGTAGAATCAGGGAGTTTTGCATTTATGGGGCAGTACTTGGTTTCACACCATCTTCTCTCTGGAATCATTTTTCTCTGTGTTAGTCACTCCTTGGAACCCTTTCCCCAATTAAAAATTAAGCTCTGAGAAGGGATAAAATGTAGGTTATTCAATTGTGTGTGTGTGTGTGTGTGTGTGTGTGTGTGTGTGTGTGTGTCTAGCACTCAGAAATATTAGACTCTCAAAATAGTTACTAGTGGTTGACTGGAGAGGTCAGCATACCAGCCTCCTGGGTTGCTTTGGATCTCACTCTTTATTTCTGAAGTCCCTGATACCTTCTGTACCATAATTTAGAAGATAACTGGGGTAACCAAGAGCAGAGGAGATACAGGTGCTGTGTTAGTCCAATATGCTTCCAATACACTTCTGAAGAAGGAATCCTTCTAAAACAATCAGCCCCAGCATTTGTCTGTTTGACTGAAAAAAAAAAAAAAAGAAAGAAAAGTTGCCTAATTCTCCTTGAATTGCATGATTTGGATTAGGTAATAATTCAGTTGGTTTTTCACATTGACCACAAAATTGTGCCTAGATGAGGTATTACATTTAGAAGTAGATTAGAAGCTTTAAGATAAGAGTAATTCTGTGTATTATAATTCTGAAATTATCTGGTTAAATAAGGATAAGCAAATGTATCATTTTTTCTGAATATATGTTCATTAGGGAAAATTTAGAAAATACAAGTAAGCAAAAAAGGAAGGATGTAAATCACACCCATAATCCTTCTATGCAGATAACCATCTTTAATTCATAAATAATTGTCTTCCCAGATTTTTTATAGTAAAATATAAATATGAAATTTCTTTTTAACAAAAAGCGGACTGATATTGAAGACCAAACCTACTGTACTTTCCTGTTCCTGTGATAAACAATTCTGGGACAAAGCATATTGTTCTGTTTCTGTGCCAAATAATATTGAGACCAAAGAAAAATAACTTTTCACTTGCTCCAAGAAATATTTGCTTACTTATCAAGAACAGCAGCTTGCTCACAAATGTGACCATGCTCACCAATCTAAAGCTGTTAAGTCACAAACTCTGCCCAGCCCCAACCAGTTCCCTGCCTTTCAAGACCAGCCTTATAATCACTAGATTGTGGCTTGAACTCTGTAAATATCCTCCCTTGAATTCCTCCTTCTGACATACTACTAATACTCTGTCAAGAAGGTGTTCTTATTTGAAATAAATCTAGTGAATGCAACTTTTCTAGCAGTCATTTTAGGAATCATTAGTCATTGTCCTCTACATACTATTTCAAAATGGGATTTTTTTTTTCTGTCCTGTCTCATGAACTTCTATGCCACTTTTCATCTATAACATCATTCTTAAGTCTTATAATTCATTAAACCAATTTTATTGGACTTTTAGGGTCTTTGCAATTTTATATTCTTATAATTGATACTATAATGTATCAATAATTTAAAGTTTTCATTATCTCCACTTTCCCCCTTGGAATAGATTTCTGGAGGTGAAATTACTAAGTCAAAAGGTATGCAGATTTAAAGACTCCTGATAAATATTGTTAAATTTGCCTCCAGATCATTCCAACCCACTTTCTTGCTGGCAGAATATAAGTGCTTATGTTTTCATATCATTGCCAGTATTGGATTTTAGCTCTTTAAATTCTTTTCAATTTGACTTGTGAAGAGAGACATGGTTGTCTTATTTATCCACTTGCTGAAGACTTTTTCAAAATATGCAATTCCACTTTCTTGCTGTCTTTTGGAGATCTCTCTCTCTCTCTCTCTCTCTCTCTCTCTCCTCTCTCATATGCCAGTTTCCTTCCCTGCAGGTTAGGGCTACTGTAAGTCCACGAGGCCATTGAATGGAATGCATTGGATATGAACCCTCTGCATGGCAGCTCTTGTTTCCCCTTGGACTCCCTGGTTATTTTGAAACAGAAGCCAAAACTCAGAATTCCTTCTTTAACTAAAACATGAGAAAAGTAAAAAGGAAAAAAAAAAATCCCTTACTGTAGGCCACATAAAGATTGCCATCCTAGACCAAACCAATATATATATCCCCTCCCAGTACAGTTTTAAGAGCATTAGGAACGTATGAGGGTAAGGGGTGTGTGTGGTAGGGTAGGGGGGTCTTCTCTGACTTATAGCTTTGGAAACATAAGTATTAGACTTGTAAAAAGATGTTTGCTATAAGAAAAGTTCTACCAGAAATTCTCACAATTTTTTGAGCTGTTGGCATTCAGAGTAAGATCAGGCCTGTTCTTAGGGAAGATAAGTGTGGAAGAACACAGAGAAAGACGGAGATTAGGCAGGCTCTGCACTGGGATTTGTGGAAGTGTGATATGGGAAAGTGAAGCAAGAGAACCTGTAAAAATCCAAGTCTATATTTATAGGGTATTGGTTTCCAAAGTACTTTGGCCTCCAAAATAAGACCCAAGAGGCAGGCAAATTTTCAGTCTTAAATCCTGGGTTAATTAATGGTAAAAGGAAACTTAACTATAAATTCAGCTGGAACTGGAGGACGTTGGAAGATGATGGTCTTCAAACTTTTATTTTGCCCCCCACATGGTCATGAATCACATAATCCCATGAAGACCATCTCTTATCACACAGTC